CACAAGTGGAAAACATTCAAGACAGTTGCCAGTCTTCCCAGGAGTGGATGTGCAAGCAAACTCACCCAAAATCAAACTGTGCAATGCTCAGGGAAAATGAAAAAACAAACAAACCAGAAATTACATCTCAGATCCTCAACTAGCATCTTAAGTGTAAAGTTCATGACAGTACAACTGGAAAAAAAACTGAGCGAGTATGATTTGTTTGGAAGCACTGTAAGGAGAAAGCTTCTTTTCTCTAAAAAAAACATGGCAGCATGGCTTGGTTTTGTAAAGTTGCATCTGGAGAAACCACAAGACTTCTGGAACAATGTCTTTTGGACAGAGTAAAGAAGAGTGGGCCAAAAAGTGGGTATGTTTGGCCATAATGCACAGTGCCATGTTTGGAAAAAACCAAACGTAATGTATCAGCTTCATATCAGCTGTCAAGCACAGGGGTGAACGATTTGGACTTTTTTTTGAAGCCACAAGACCTGGGCACCTTGCAGTCACTGAGCTGACCATGAACTCCTCTGTATACCAAAGTAAACTACAGTATAGTCAAATGTGAGACCATTTGTCCAACAGCTAAAGATTGGCTGAAACTGGGTCATGCAACAGGAAAAATGGCAGCTGGAAGCCCGGAAATGGCTGTCGGCAGCCGTTTTCGCGCCCTGCCCTCGCTTAGCGAAGGCGTGAAAATGGCTGCCGGCACCTGGAATCCTCGCTGAACGGGTAAGTAATGAAGGTATTGGAACGCATTAAACGAAGTTTAATGCGTTCCAATACCTTTCCCCTACCCGTTTAGCGATGATTCCGTATAGCGAGGGTTAATCCGGAACGGATTAACCTCGCTATACGGGGCACCACTGTACTTAAAGTTATAGCTGCTAAAGGTGATTCTATGAGCTATTGAATCATCAAGTGTACTTCGTTTTTCACACACTGCTTTTCCAATTTGGCTGTATTTTCACACATGGCTTCTTCATTCTGGCTTTATTTTTATTAAATAAATCATGGCAGGATGTAATAGGTCATGTGTTGTTGTTGTTCATCTGAGGTTGTATTTACCTAATTTTCAGACCTGCTAAGGACCAGACGATTTTTTTTATTATGTAAGGTAAAGGTTCCCCTTGACATTTTCAGTCCAGTCGTGTCTGACTTTAGGGGCGGTGCTCATCCCGCTTTTCAAGCCGTAGAGCCAGCGCCTGTCCGAAGACAGTTTTCCGTTGTCACGTGGCCAGCGTGACTAGGGAACACTGTTTTACCTCCCCACTGAGATGGTACCTATTTATCTACTCGCATTTACATGCTTTTGAACTGCTAGGTTGGCGAGGAGCTGGGACAAAGCGACGGGAGCTCACTCCATTGCGTGGATTCAATCTTACGACTGCTGGTCTTCTGACCCTGCAGCACAGGCTTCTGCGGTTTAGCCCACAGCACCACGTACTGATACGTAAAACCATAGAATTCAGAGGGTGTGTTTTCTTTTTCCCATGCCTTTATATTTCTTTCATATTCTGTTTATGGCCATGGCAAAAAAAGAGGTTAAGAATGGCTGTTCTAGAGAGCCCCTCTACCAGTGGGCATGTGTTGCACCTTTTCTCTACTAATAACACCTGAAACCTCACAAAGAACAGTCCAAATTATAGTAGCTTTACAAATGCTATCTTTCTTTCTCCACCCGTCATGAATGGTGCAAGCAGCAGAAGACTCTTTCTTTAAGTCAGGACATTGCCCATTGTCATTGACAAACCACAAGAAGTAGTATTTCCCCATGTATTCTCGAAGGCTTTCACAGCTGGGATCTGATGGTTGTTGTGGGTTTTTCAGGCTCTTTGGCTGTGTTCTGAAGGTTGTTCTTTCTAACTTTCGCCAGTCTCTGTGGCCGGCATTTTCAGAGGACTGGAGTAGGAACTCTGCCCATGCTCTGTCCTCTAAAGATGCTGGCCACAGAGACTGGCGAAATGTCAGGAAGAACAGCCTTCAGAACACGGCCAAAGAGCCCAAAAATATTTCCCCATGCTTCCCAGCTTAACAGTTTAAGCAAGGACTCACCGGGAATGATATTCCCCAGGCTGTCGGAAGGGCAACAAAGAAATATCTGGGCTCGTAGTCTCTTCTGATAACAGATCGTGCAAAGGTGGGCTACAACAGAAGCCTTAAAATGAGAAAGAGATGAGACGTTGGGAGGCTTTGGGACCAGAGAAATTTCCAAGCTCCATTTTGTTCCCAGTGACATCACCAAAACGTAACAGGCATCAGCATTGCCTCAAAATAGAACAATGGTTAAATTAGTTCATTCACGCTGAACCTGAACTCTTTTGAAGTCATTTCCAAACTGAGCCAGGGAAGATCTCACCCTCCACTCATTCCATGTTAGTACACAAAAGACAAAGCTTCTCTTTGTTTATTTATAACCAAGTGTGAGCATACTAAAGAAAGGAGAAGTGAGTTAAAATTAGATCAGTGCAGCAGACAGTCTTACAGATGGCGAGAAGACAAGTTTAGATGCAACGTGTTGCTTTTCTTGGTTGAGACCAGGTTCACAGCCATTCAGTGAGAACATGAAATTTTGTTCATGCCAAGGAAAGTATTCTTAATTATAGATAAACTTCCTACCAGTTGCAGAACTCAGTGGTCACTGGTCACTGAGAACAAATGCAATTACAGGTTTTCTTTTTCACTCATCTGAGCATAGGTTCAAAGCATTTGAGGCAAAAGACTGCCTCAAGTCATTCTGGGAAGAGTTTGGTCCATTCTTGCTTCAATGTATTTGCCTGTAATTATCTCCATCACAGCTTCTCTCTGTTCTGACCCACATTTTCTTCTACCCAAGAGTTCCTAGGTCATGGTGACAGTAAATATGCTTAAATTCAATAAAACTCCCCTCTCCACCACTTCAAAACAGCATGAAACAGATGGAGAATAAGCTCTCACAGCATCTTTGCAGGATCTGCTTTCAAGAACTTTTTGTGTAGAATCAGGTTTCTGGAACACGCACATGTCAGGAACACCCACACAGTTCTTAGGGTCACACACACACACACACATACACTGCTTACCCAATGCTGTGTATGAATGTAAAACAACCACATATAAAAGATAGAGATTAACAACACTGGACAATTATCTCAAGCAAAATGCTTTCCAATGGGAGCAGGCTTAAATAATCACCACATAAGATGATACTAAGTGCCTGCATGCACCAATCCAGCTAACCTAAATAGGCTGTGTCTGCATTGCTGTTCTGGTTCGATTCCCTTTCATCCTTTCTCCATCTTTTTTCCCCACTAGAACTCCATCTCTCTTTCCTTCCTCATCCACTCCTTTGTTGCTGTTTTTGCCTCTGTCTTCTTTGAAAAAAACTTCTCTTTCTCAGTTTCCAACCACCAGGGGTCTACTTTCTTGTCTACCTTTCCCAATAAGTTTTTGTTTCCCAAATTCAGCCCTTTTTGCCTTCAACTGACCCTTATAATATTCTGCTTCCTTGGCTGACCACGTTTCCCACCTTTGTTGAACTTTTAGCCTCCTAACTCACAGACATGTGTACATGCACACGCGCACACACACACACATACACATCACCACAGATGCTCCCATTCCAGTCTGAGAAAGAAAAATTTCTGAGAACCCAGAAATAGCACCTAGGATCACAAAACAGGGCTTAGTCATTCCTGTCTGAACCAAGAGGCCTATGGCCACCATGACAGTAGTTAACCAACTGGTCAAGACTTCCATAGAGCTGGATATACCACTTTAGAAAATATATGAAGAAGCTAAAGAAAATCACAGACATATGGGGATGTTATGCCCCTCTGAGCTGTGACAAGACCTCACATCAGGAATGGAACCAAGGGTAACATTAAAACACCAAAGCACTGAAACTGAGCCCTGTAGTTGCAGAAAAGATCTGAGACTTGCTTTAGAGATCTACACATTTTGATTCTTGCTGGCTGTTCTTCATTAACACCTAGTTTTTAATTGCTTGAGTACAGTTTCATTCTCCCCTAGCTTTGCTACCCACATTTCTTGAATTTCTCACCCCCTTTCACACAAGCTCATCCAACTTTCATCCCCTTCCCCACCCCCACCAACAAACTTGAGCCATCTTGATGTAGCTTCTTGGCTGACATTGTCCCTTGGTTATTTGGTCAAACACGAGAGAAATCTCTTTTACAACCAGTACTATACCTCTGGGGAACCTGGGCAGCTTCCAGAGAAGAAAATCCAAACTGGCCAATTAAAGGCCCAATGTACCCTGATCAACTGGTTGATTTTGGTGAGGCTGTGTTAGCTTACAATTTGCATAGAAATACAATTCGGGGTCTGGAGCAGCCTGGCTGTTTGGGTATATTTCTAGAAAGGAAGAGCTAGAAAAAGCTGGAGGGGACACAAGTTGACAGTTTGGCAGTTCATGGTGGTTCATCCTTTGGACAAACAGGTCTTCCACTCCTCCAGTGGGCACTCACTCAGATGCAGTGCCCAGAGGAGGATGAGCAGGAAATCTGGGGTTCTGCCTCTAAGTGGGCATCCACCTGAGGAGGTGTGGCTGAGAACTGCCAAACACTTGTTTGTCCAAAGGATGAACCTGCATGAACTACCAAACTATCAGTTGTTGCCCATCTCTAGTTAGATTTCCTACCACCCAACAAAGGGGACTTCCATTGAAGCCTTGGCAACTGAACTCAATGGAAAGCAGACCAGGTCAATGACTGCTGAGAATGTTTGGTACACAGTACAGTTGGACAACACACCAGGGTCCCCCCCAAGGCAAAGCGTGGAACAGGATATTCTACCATCAGCATTCTTTCTCTGAGCTAAACTTACTTGGATAGTTTCATCTCAATTTGCTGCCGGATTTCCTGTCTCTCTTCATCGGTCCTTCTGGGGAAAATATTCCTATCTTCGAGCTCCTGTTTGCTCGGCCTGTTCCGCAATTTCACTGCCAGCAGCTCTTTCTTGCATTTTCTTGGCAACGTACCTGGAATACATATTGAAAAACAACGCGGACGTGTCAGAAAGGCTGTTCCTAAAATAGGTAAAGGGACATCCTTTCTTCAATCCAGTTCTTTTGTGAATCAGAAGTGCAAAAGATAGATTGTGCCAGGAATCTTCCCTGGGCAGGACATGAGGACCTTCATCTGAGGGCAGCAAATGGCTGGATGAAGAGTAGCCAAGGAGGACAAGAGGGAATACACCAGTGGTGTAACAGAAGAAGGGCTTGTGGGGTTGAACTGGTGGGACTTGTTGACTGGTGGAACAGAGAGGGAGACATTCCCAGCCAACAACATATACTTGTGAACCATTCTCCTTGCAAAGCAAAGAATTTGGGGACGTGGTGGCGCTGAAGGGGATATGGTGGTGCTGTGGGTTAAACCGCTGAAGCCTCTGTGCTGCAAGAACAGAAGACCTGCAGTCGTAAGATCGAATCCACATGACGGAGTGAGCCCCCGTCGCTTGTCCCAGCTCCTGCCAACCTAGCGGCTCGAAAGCATGCAAAATGCAAAAATGCTAGTAACTAGGTACCACCTTGGTATAAATAGGTACCACCGCGTCTAGTCATGCTGGTCACGTGCTGCAGACAAACGCTAGCTCTATGGGTTGGAAACGGAGATGAGCCCCCTAGAGTCGGAAACAACTGGACAATATTGTCAAGGGGAACCTTTACCTTTTACCTTTACTTTGGCCCCAAAAAGGGGCTATCAACTACAGTGAAATAGCAAAATGACAATCATCCTCATCTTCATCTCTACATCCACCATCACCTGCTACAGCAGCAGAACTTTCAAGAATGGAAAATTTGGCCCCTAAACCCGAAACATCTTCATCTCTAGATTATTAGGAAAGAAACGGGAAGCCAACAAAGGGATATTGCAGAGGTAAAAGAGGAAATGATGTCTATTTTAATTTTTTTCAAATAAATAAACTTATAACAATAACAGTAATATTCTTAGAACTGCAGGGCTGGCAGCAATCCAGTGGATCAAATCCATCCTCTGCCTAGGAGACACAGTGAGGAATCACACTCCCAACCTCTGGATCCATAACCAGATACTTAAACCACTGAGCTATCCAGCAGTCGATTTGCAAAATTATTGATATGTCTGTGCATTTTTATACCAACACTGCTTATTATCATTGTTGCTTTTGTTACTGTTGTCACTGTTATTATAACAAACATAATGTGGTTATGGCATCCATTTTAAAAACTCTTATTATTTCTGAAACTAAACTAAATGAAAGCCTGCTAGAGGTCTCCTGCCAGGTCAGACCAATCTTGTCCCCACCGCACCACGTGTTCTGAAATTCTATTTAAAGTTTTCTCACCTAGAGCTCAATGAATGCAGTGCCACCTTGTGACCAGAATAAGAAAGGAATCTCCCTCTGTAAATGACCACAAGGTGCAATGTAGAGGGGAAGTAACAGTAACTGTGATATGTCTAAGACATTGTATAGATATCCTTATCTATTTTCTCAACTCCGCATCTTAATTAATTAGACCTGGGGCCTCTTTGTTGCCATTGTCAACAAAATCCTGTGAGCACTATAAAGGAGATTATTATTCACACTTCTCACTGATTAGGGTTCTCAGAGACATCCCTCCATTTCCCACACTTCTCACTGATTAGGGTTCTCAGACACATCCCTCCATTTCCACACATACACAAACAAAACATAGTTTTCCAAGAGTTGGTGCTCATATTCATGAACTGTCAACCAGTGCCCCTGTGCATAGGTAAAGGTAAAGGTTCCCCTTGACATTTAGTCCAGTCGTGTCCGACTCGAGGGGGCAGTGATCATCCCCCGTTTCCAAGCCGTAGAACTGCCGTTTTTGTCCGAAGACAGTTTCCGTGGTCACGTGGCCAGCACGACTAGACACGGAATGCCGTTACCTTCCAACCAAGGTCATACCTATTTATCTACTAGCATTTGCATGCTTTCAAATGGCTAGGTTGGCAGGAGCTGGGACAAGCAACAGGAGCTCACTCTGTGGCGTGGATTCGATCTGACGACTGCTGGTCTTCTGACCCTGCAGCACAGAGGCTTCTGCGGTTTAACCTGCAGCACCACCACGTTGCCTTCCCCTGTGGACGTTATGACCCTGTGCATAAATATTCATAAACTAGGATTCGAGAAGGGCATGGACCCTGGTTTGGCGGTTCGTGTCAGTTCATCCATTGGTCCAACTGGTGTTCCATGTTTCTGAGCCCTAACCCAGTGGAGGCAGGGCAGGGAAGCTGAGGTACTGCCTCTGAGTGGATGCCCACTGGAGGAGGTGGGGCTAAGAACCACAGAACACCCATTGGGCCAACAGATGAACTGGCATGAAACAATCTCTAAGGAGGCATGTGTATGCAGACGCAACTCACTTAACAAATAAAGATATATTTCGGATTGAGTTCCTGGATCGACAGCATTCCAGAGTTCTGAAGGCCAAAGCCTACTAAAGTCTCAGCTCTTCTGATGTCAGACTTTCGTGACGCCACAAGCCTTCGATAATAACCACCAATATCTTGTGTGTGAGAGAAATAGACAGTGTAGAAACCCAAAGAGAAATTTGATACCCAATCGAGGAATCTCAGCAGTAACAGCAGCAACTATATTAAAAACAGCTCTGTATTATGCAAAGTAATGGCTGAATTCCTGTTGGTGTACATTTACACCATTTGTCATGGGTCAGATTATGTGGTTTAAATCATGTAACGAAGATGGGATATGTAGTTGTGAACAATGTAAAATCGATTCCATATTGGTTCTATGTAGAAATGATTTTGTATATGGAGAGTGTAGTTCCAGAGGACTGTGGGAATGTTTTTCTTTTAGGCCAGGACAAGCCAATACAAGATAGGAAGACCAGACACTTGTTGTGGCATAGAGGCGATGGACTGAGAAAAACGACACCTGTTTCTCATGAGAAGAGAAGGAGGGGATTGCTTCTATAACCTTAGGCCATGATTGGATGGCAGCTTGAGAGACGGAGGAGAAGGGGGTTCCAAGAAGATTGAAAAGGAACTTTTACTATATGCAGAGATCCTTCTTTTGTTCTACATTTTTGTTCTATCTTTTTCCAGCATAGATTTTTCTAGGTCTTTCTGCCTGCTGCTCCGTGCAGGTGAGGGACTGGGGAAGATGTAAGGAGTAAAGGAAGAAAGAAAGGGGGTACACAGATTTTTCTAGGTCTTTTTGCCTGCTCCTCCGTGCAGGTGAAGGACTGGGGAAGATGTAGGGAGTAAAGGAAGAAACAAAGGGGGTCTTTAAGCCTTTTGCCTACCCTAAGGAAGCTTTTAGTGATTTTTAGAGATTTTTAGCGCTATTGTAATTAAAATTGCTTTATTTGTATTTTGTAACAAGCCTTGAAAACACTAATTTGCTATGCTTTTGCATCAAACTGACTTTATTCTGTAAATCTATATTTTTTTCAATAAAAATATTAATTATAAAATCTTTTGGTCTCTTGAACAGTGAAGCTATCATAGCTATACCCTGAGGGGGAAGCAAGGCCACATTGGGCTAAGTAGATCTAGGACTACAAAACTCATGCGTAACTTCCTACTGATCTTTCCTAAGGTTGAGCAAGTATCTTTTAGGGCAGACTTGTAAGAAGAAGTTTGTTGTACCAGCTGAGGTCATCCAGGACTCAACCCAGCTGCATAGGGGTGCTCAGACTTCCAATTACTCCCGACCCGACCGGTCAAGTTCTCCTTCACAGGAAACTGGTTGTGACATCATGCAATCTGGATGATATCATCCTGTGATAGAAATCTTAAATTAACCTAGTTTTAAACCATATATGATAAGAGATAAGATAATTTCTGCATGTATTACTTGAAAGTAAGGAAAAAGAGTAACAGATGAGAAAGGGAAGGTGGTCATATCCCCTTAGGACCTTCATGACACAGTGGTTCAACTGCAGCATTGCAGTAAAAACTCTGTTTTTGGAATTATTCCAATGTGTGAATTATGATACATTTTGCAAAATTGTTCTTCAGACTTTTGAAGTTCTCTATTCTTGTACAGTTAAATACCTTTCTATGTTATTTTTGTATTAAAGAGTTTGTATTAAAGAGTTTTGAAAAATATAATACTGTAGTCTGTAGCGAGGCAGCTCCCCTTGGGAAACAATCATGAGGAAGGAAGGAACGAAGGAAGGAAGGAAGGAAGGAAGGAAGGAAGGAAGGAAGGAAGGAAGGAAGGAAGGAACTAACTAACTAACTAACTAACTAACTAACTAACTAACTAACTAACTAACTAACTAACTAACTAACTGCAGGCTGGAATACAACTTGCATCACAACCAGTATGAATGGTGAACTCCCTAAACAATCCACAACACTTGTACAAGTAGTGATCAAGATTTCAGAGATAATACAGCTGTGATAATACAGCTATGGACCAAATTGTAGAAAAAACAAATTGGAACAATTTGGCTCTCCAATGGAGTTGCACCTGTCTGTGCTTATTCAGGCTTTCCCTAACCCTTATTATATAGCTATCTCACCAAACTGGCTCAAGATTTTCTTTCAAATGGGAAGCAATATAAAAATAATTTACCCAAACAAATACGCAATACATGAATAAATATGTGGAATCTGGAAATCAGGTTTGTAACCAAGTATTTGATTTACTGGGAAAGTTTTAATTGTACAATTAGTGATAAGAAATTCTTTTTAGAATTTTGGCAACACAGGCAGATCATGGTCTGATTAGGGAGGGAAGCCTACCTTCAAATCTGGGATAAGATATCTACCCCTGATCAGACTCTGAGCCATCCTGTTTTGGGAGGAGGAAATACCATTGTCATGCTGGATAGCTCATGGGCTTAGGTCACTGGGAGTTCAATCGCCCCACTGTGCCTCCTTGATAGAGTCTGGTGTGGTGGCCAGCAACTGGAGAAGGCAGTAAATAGGAGGACGACAAATGAAATCCTTGGAGGACTGACAGAAACTCCCATTTTATGATAACAATACCCATAATAACTGGAAGAGAGTTGAGTAACTTTGGACTGGGGGAAAACATGTATTGAAACTTTACCATAGACTTCAAAGTATTGACAAACATTTGTAGCAGTGGTTTTGGTGGCCAGCAACTGGAGAAGGCAGTAAATAGGAGGACGACAAATGAAATCCTTGGAGGACTGACAGAAACTCCCATTTTATGATAACAATACCCATAATAACTGGAAGAGAGTTGAGTAACTTTGGACTGGGGGAAAACATGTATTGAAACTTTACCATAGACTTCAAAGTATTGACAAACATTTGTAGCAGTGGTTTGCATTTGAATGTCTTCTATTTTTGGTTTTTCTTATCAAATGTAAATGATTATTTTTTTAAAAAATAGCTGAGCACCTGGTTAACCTGTGAGATCACCAAAGAGGTGACAAATATTTATGTATACACCTCACATTTATCTTTATTCCCTATCTTTCTTGCATCAGGCTCAAAGTGGCATACATAGTTCTGCTCCTTTCTTCTTTCTCTCTGAGGTAGGGCAAACTGAGGGAGAGTGACTGGATCAAGGTCAACCAGCAGGGACTAGAGCCTCAATTCCCCCAGTCTCAACCCAACTTTCTAACACGACACTGCACTGGGACTTGTTCTTTCACAACAGACATTACTACCAAGCAGTATGTTTGAAATTTGAGACCCAACTGAAAGAAGACTCCGAAGGGTGGTCACAAAACACAGGAAGAGAGAGGTACTGTAGTAGGAGAGAAGTCAGTGGAGTGACTGAACGAGATCTGTTGCTGGCCAAAACAGGCAATAGCTGGGTGAAGTGTTGGCAACCACTTCACAGAAGTCATATCCATTTGGAGGTTGAACTCACCAAAGATTGTAGTACAGATATTGTCCAGGACAAAGAAGGTGAGCCAGGCATCAAGATCTGAAATGAAGGTTGATTGGGAAGCAGGCAGGTGACATAGAAATGCCACGCAGAGGTGCAAAAGGGAATGGAATCTAACAGAATGAACTTTAGGGGGAAAAGTCTCAACGGTTACAGAAGTATGACAATGGAACTAATACCACGGGAGGTGAGTGTTCCAACATTGGAGACATGCAAGAGAAAATTGGATAACAATCTGTCAGATTTGCTTTGATTTGGGTTCCTGCATTGAGCAAGGGGTTGGACTCCATGATCTTATCGGCCCCGCCCAATTCCATTATTCTGTGATTCTAGATCCAAAGGGAGAGAAGTAGAAGGATAGGGTAGATAGGCAGAGATTAGAGGTGGCAGGATTTTGAAAGTAGTACTATGTCAATTTTCAGGTAATACACCAATCCAGTCATTCAGAGAGTAAAGTATTATTTTAAGGTTCATGAAACATATGTCCTTACCAGAAATTATAGAATCATTCAACACTTCCTCATCCTGATACAAAACAGAGTCATCCTTGATATCGGAGTTCATGATCAGGTTCTCTTTGTTCTCATCTGACTCCTTAGCAGAATTCCGCTTGTTCTCTGGATCGCTGTTATAATTCAGAGGATTATCTTTCTCTTTGCTGTGTTCAATGCTGGATGTTCGGGATGGGCGGATGTCCACTCGCTTTTTGGGAGACCCTTTGTTTTCTCTTCCATGAAAGCTGAGGATGAAAGGAAAATAATCACAGGGGCTCAGACCAAGAACCAGGAATTTCATGTGACAGGGAAGGAGTTGTCTGTCACAAACATAATTCTCCCCAGCACTTCGCTCTCTGCAGAGGGCTATGAAAGAATGCCTTTGGGATTAGTGTGAAGCCCTCAGTATCTGACACAAGATGAAGTCACAACAACAAGGCACTGGTCACCAGGGGAAAGTGACCAATGCCTTGTTATGAAGTACACCAATGTGGTATACCAGGTCGATCTTTTCAAGGAACACAGCATGTGCCACCAATGCAAACGAGAGATGGGTACACGCTGGTTGGATGCCCATTGAAGGAAGCAGGGCCTGGAAAGACACACTTTTGCCTCTGAATGGGCGCCCACGAGAGGAAGCAGGGCCGGGAAGCCAGGGAGCTCGCAACAACAGTTGTGTGCCCAAAGTGCTTAACTGGCGGTTTGCGCCCATTTCTACTGCAAAACAAAGGTCAAATAGAGCACCACAAAACTGATCACTGGGTACTGTATTTATTTTATTTGAGTTAAATTTTTACCTCACCCACCCAATATTGCAAGTGACTCTCAGCAGCTTACAATATTGCAACATAAACATAAAATTCAATAATAATCTAATTAAAACATCAAATAAAGGAGAACCAAAACTTACAATAATAGTATATATGAAAATAGTTGACACCAAAAGTCATTTGTAATAAAAAAAAAATCTTAGAACTACAGAATTGGAAAGGACCCTATGGATCATCCAGTCCTGTCAAGGAGGCACAGTGGGGAACTGAACTCCCAACCTGTGGGCTCCACCACCAGGTATCTAAAGATGGCAGCAAAACAGAGATGATGACTTGAAAAATAATGGGATATCAATTATAAAAAAGCAGGATTAAACCAAAATTAATCCAGGGTCAAATTACAGAAGAGCTGTGTAAACAGTCACATCTTCACTTCTTTTCTGAATCCAAGGAGGGAAGGGCCCATTCACACCCTTGTTAGGAAAGAGTACCATAATAAGGCAGCCACCACAGAGAAGGCCTGGTTCCTATATGATATTTTAGAAACTGTGAAAAGGAAGGCATGGCATTCACCTGTTTTCCTCTGGCAAAATATGGACTCGGTTAGGCAGCTGCAAGGCATGGGGCCAGTTCCTGCTCAATCCCAGATTTTGGAACTATTAAGTTTTTGAACTACATCACCCAGAATGCCTCAGTCAGCAACTCTAGTTGGTAAAAGCAGCTATTCCAAGCTGTATCCAACTCATACATTGACATACTATGTGGTAGTTATGAGATACATAGCTCTCCACAAGAATAATGCTTTGCATTGAATCTCCCTCCTCTTTGTTTGATAAGGGAGAATTCTGTGATTCTTGTTTCTCTTCATATAGGGTTCCTTATGCATAGCACACTCGTAAATATATCATGGAGTGTGCATACCTGGCCCTCCATGGAAAGAAATAGATGTCTACTTGGTAACCATCTAAATCAGGACTTTATCGGGATAGTAAAGCTGTAGTCTCATACAGAGGTTGGGCCAGAGTAGCAAACACTGTGAAAGGCAAGACAGCTCCTCCGTGGTGCCTTCACAGAAGACATAATGCCCTTCCAGCCGATCAAACGCCTTACCTATCCTGCCGATGTTTGGTGGCCAGGGCTCTGTGAAGTTCCTCGATGACTCGGCTGGGGGGCAAAGGCAGGTGGACAGTGGCAAGATGAGGGGAGCCGGTTGGGGTCGTGTGCTGCCCTCTAAGGTGGGGATCGGAGGTCTTCTGTCCTGAGGGCTGGAAGGGAGCAGCTTGTCCTGAGAGTTGGGAGGAACCAACAATTACATAATTCTTCAAGATAGTGGATGGAGGGGATTTCAAGGCTGGTTCATCTACTTCACTTCCTGCTGCTGGAAATAAAAATTATACAAAGGGATATTATTTGCCACACACAAGGGATTCTTTCCCCACAGAATTCATGCTGAGAAAAAGCATCTGTGATGCTGCCTTGGAAGCAATTTCAGGAGCTTTCCAGTCAAAATCTGCCTCCAAGGAGATGATGGAACTTCAAATTCTTGCTAGAAAATATTATTATACTTTCCTGAATTGCGGCAGTGAACTCTAAGTGTCTTATTTGTGTTGTCCAACTCATGGTGATCCTAATAGAGTTTTCAAGATATCCAAGATATCTAAGAAGTGGTTTTATCATTACCATTCCCAGTAAGCTTCTGTGTTCCATTGAGGATTTGAACCCAGATCGCCTAATCCCTAGTTACTGTATCTACTATTCTGAAGTGGCTCCCCACCACATTGGCTGTTAAGTACCTCACTATTCGCCTCTGGAATAACCTTCCTCCGGCGATTCGTGCGGCCCCCCCGCTGGGCACTTTCAAGAGTCAGTTAAAAACATGGTTATATGTTCAGGCCTTCCCTCCAGTCAATACTTAACTTTTTCTTTTTCCTTGTCCTTTTCTTTCCTTATTTGCTTATTATTGGATGTGCTCTGATTGTCTGTAATTTTTATGTTTTATTTTAAATATTTATTGGAAGCCGCCCAGAGTGGTCGACTAGACCAGATGGGCGGGATACAAATCAAATCAAATCAAATCAAATCAATAAACAAACAAACAAACAAACAAACTACAATTCCCATTATTCCATAGGTTACTTAAAATAGTATTAAATTGCAGTAACTGTGCAGTGTAGCAAAAGCAGTCACAATGTGCCCAGGGGGATCAGGCACCATATCAAGTAATCTGTTTTTCTGACAATAATATATCTCATTATAGATCTTCTCACTAAGGAAAATGTGAAGACCCTTTTGCTGTACAATTTAATCAGTGAGGTATCACTCACAGGCCTGAGGTAGTAATTCAACAATAAAGCATATTTTTCAAGGGTTGAAAGAAACAGAGGTTTGTTTGTTTGTTTGTTTGTTTGTTTGTGGCACCAATACAATTCATAAATGGAATTTCACCTTTGCTACCCATGTGGCCATTGTTAATGGGTTAGTGCCACCAAGTGGTGAAAATGTTAATTTAAAAATCAAATGATTCTCAAAGTGAAGCAAAGGGTCCTGTCAATAGGGAAGAAAGATCCTTATTTTAGCATGGATTTTTTTTTCAGGGGGTGTAGACCACAGATGTGAAGAATACTCACTAAATTTTTCACCCTCACCAGACTGTCTTGGTATGAATGTCCAAGCCTCATAAAAATTCCATGCCTCCAGAATGAGAGCAAAATAAGGAGAGATTTTAACTTTCCCACCCCCGTCAAGATTTCTGGATTTGCATAAAATGTCTCTGTGGCAGTCTTTCTCTGTGAAACGTAAAGAGTGCACATGTGCATGTGTTGGCATGCTCATACACATCGCAAGCCTCTAGGACAGTGATTCCCAACTTTGGATCCCCAGATATTATTGGACTAAAATTCCAAGAATCCTTCACCACTGGTTGTGTTGGCCAAGATTTCTGGGAGCTGTAATCCAAGAACATGTGGTGATTCAAGCTTCAGAACCACTGTTATACGACTGTTTGAAGTTCATTTTTTCCTAGGGAACTGGAAATCAGCTGTAGTACATAACAAAACTCTGGTTATTGCAGTCCCTAATAACAGCTCAGCTTCCGTTCCATCTCTCCATTATTACTTCAAGAAATAGTTATCAAAAGTATCTGAGCCATTCTTTAGTGGTTGCTAGATGATTTTGGTAGATTAACAGAAGATTCCCGGTGCTCTATTACATGCTCCATCTTTTTTTTAAAAAAAAAAAAGTTAAAATCGAACTGAAGCATCTAAGAGAGGTCTGTGCTTCCAATAGCTTTATATCTTATAGCAACTGGAAAACTTATTTTTTAATATAGTACATCTGCTTCCTACAGAATTCTAGGAATTTTGGTCCAAAAGATTAACTTTCCCCAACTCTTCCAGGTTTCCATTCCTCTGAATCATGTAATGCAGCTGTATCCTTTGCCTCCCTTATCACCATTCAACCCATTCCCCCCTCCCACCTAACTGCTACTTACAGAGTCTACCATTTCACCAACAGCTAACATTCCATGGGTTGGTCAGGCCTGTATCCTCCCTCTTCAATACTTCTCTAGTGTGACTGCCATACCTTACCCAAACCACTACCCTCAATCTCTTGTTTTTTTAAATCTTCTGTTAGGTTAGAATATGTATACTGGCATATAAAATCATAGAATAGTTGAGTTGGAAAGGGCCTATAAGGCCATTGAATCCAATCCCCTGTTCAAGGCAAGAATCCAAAGCAAAATAGATCTGACAGATGGTTGTCCAATTTTCTCTTGAATGCCTCCAGAGCTGGAACACTTTCCACCTCCCATAGTAAATGATTTCTATTGTTGTACTGCTATAGACACTGTTCCGCCTACGTTGGCTTGGGCATGTTGTGAGAATGGCTGATGGTTGGATTCCAAAAGATCTCCTGTATGGAGAATTAGCACAGGGAAATCGTGCCAGAGGGAGACCACATACAAGGATATCTGCAAGCATGATCTGAAGGCCTTAGGAATGGACCTCAACAGATGGGAAACCTTGATGTCTGAGCGTTCAGCCTGGAGGCAGACGGTGCATCACGGCCTCTCCCAATTTGAAGAGACCCTTGTCCAGCAGGCTGAGGCAAAGAGGCAGTCCCGAAACCAGCAAAATCAGGGGGCTGGACAGGGAACAGATTTTATCTGTCTTCAGTGTGGAAGGGACGGTCATTCTCGAATTGGCCTTCTCAGCCACACTAGATGCCGTTCCAAGTCCTCCATTCAGAGCACATTACCATAGTATCTCAAGACTGAAAGAGTGCTATAACAATTAAGAAGTTTTTTCCCTGATATTCAGCCTAAATCTGGCTTCCTCTAATTCCATATTGTCAGCACTGTCTGGTAGCAGCTCCCAGGTTTCCAGAGCAGAGTTTTCCCAGCCCAACCTGGAGTTGTCAGGATTTGAATCTGTAATCTTCGGCAGGTATGATCCCTACTCAGGTAATCATATCTAAAATTGAGGGATACTTTATAACTCAAATACCCTTGCTCTGAAGTTCAATAATAATATAATAACAATACGTAATAACGTAACATCAAAAGAATTCTGACTTATGACAATCCTTTTCATGCTTTTCCAGATACTCCGAATACCATTCCCTACTTCCGGGGATACCCTGGAATCCTGCAGCTTGCCCAAGGCCACACAGGCTGGCTTTACTCACGGGAGGCACAGTGGGGAATCAAACTCCCAACCTCTACCATTGACCTATCTAGCCAGCTAAAACCCATAGAACATATATTTTAATTTAGATGAATTTCTACTCACAAGCATTTAGGTAGTCCATGTTTTAAATGTGGAGAGGGGCACATTATGGGATAAGGTGTTCTGCTAGCTCAGGACACAGGCCAACCCTGCATACATCTACTTGCACTTTCATTATTGGGGAAAAAAGGACTTTGCTGGGAAAACTACCACCACATACATGCAGACACTAACCGAAGTCTAGTCTCCAAATCTTGTGGCATGCTAGTTCTCCCCTATTAGGCCTCATCTAGAATAGTCATTCTCAAACTTGACTTCCCAGGTGTTCTTGGACTGCATCTCCCAGAAATCCTGGCCAGCACAGCAAGTAACGAATTCTGGGAATTGCAGTCCAGGAACATCTGGGGACCCCAGTTCGAAAACCACTGATCTAGAATACATCTGGGGACCCCAGTTTGAGAACCAATGATCTAGAATGTGTCCATTTGTGGACACCACACTTTAAGCAAGATGCCAACAAACTGGGATAAGTACCGAGAAGGGCAACAAGAACGATCAAGGGACTGAAAAACAAGCCATATGAGGAAAGACTAAAAGATCTGGGCATGTTTATCCTTTAGAAAAGAAAACAGAGGGAAGATAGGATAGCACTTTTCAAATATTTGATAGGTAGTCATACAGAGAAGGGGCAGGTTCTGCTCTCACTCACCCCAGAGTGCAGGATGCATAATAATGGACTCAAGCCGGAATCTTCACTTAGGCTGACTATAAGGAAAAACTTTTTAACTGTTACAGCAGTACGACGATGGAACCAATAGCCTCAGACAGTGGAGAGTGTTTCAGTGCTGGAGGCATTCAAGAGAAAATTGGACAAACATCAGTCAGATCTGCTTTGATTTGGAGTCCTACATTTAGCAGGGGGGGTGGACTCAATGGCCTTAATAGGCCCCTTCCAGCTCAGTTATTCTATGATTCTATGACCCAAGCTTAGTAACATGACTTGTGGCCTTTTTGAAGATGAGCATGCTGTTCCTTTCCAGGCTGATTCTGACTGTTGCAAATGTTACTCCTGCATGGTGCAAGGTGTTTGTACCCTTCACTCTGTATAACCCTGCAGTTGTCTTATGTTACTGAAAACTCATCTCTCCATGTTAGAAGCAGCTACTCCCCCATTTAATTTAAAAAGCATAGGGCAATAAGTCACTGTGTGTACACCACACCCATAGTCCATGTTTGCTCAAAACATGTGCCCATGTGCACCTGTGAACGAGGATATGTAGCAATACTTGCAAATGCTATTAGCATCCCTGTTATTTCTCTGTAGACCTGTTTTGGCTACTCACCCACCATACCTCAGAATTAAGGTGGTCATATGTATCCTAGTTCAAAGAGACAATCCTGTAATTGAAAGCTGTGAACCAGCTCTGAGCTCACCTGAACTATATCTGATAGTCTTTTCCTACGGAAATGTTGGGACTTTCAATTATAACTTTTCTGCACTCTCCACAAGATATTGGTGCACGCCTGAAGAAGTGATTTTCAACACTAAAAGCTCACATCAAATGTTTGGTTGTTCTTGGACTTCAACTCCCAGAAGCCTTCACCACCACCTCTGCTGGCCAGGATTTCTGGGAGTTGAAGGCCAAGAACATCTGGAGGGCCACAGTTCGACACCACTGCTCTAGTTGAAAGCTGTGAACCAGCTCTGAGGTCACCTGAACTATATCTGATAGTCTTCTCCTATGAAAATGTTGGGACTTTCACATATAACTTTTCTGCACTCTCCACAAGATATTGGTGCACGCCTGAAGAAGTGATTTTCAACACTAAAAGCTCACATCAAATGTTTGGTTTTTAGTGGTCCAAATGAAGGTATCACCTAGCCTACATTTGTATTGTTTAAAGGACTACACAGTTTTCTTCGTAAAGAATTTGGAGGTGGGGAGGTGAGCCAGAGCCTCGGAATGGCCTATAAACAGTTAATATCTAGAAAACAGACAGAGAAAGCCTCCTGATCAGTCTTTGAGCCCCACAAGATGTGAGATGCATTGCACTTTTATTAAATCACAGTTCTGAATTTCCATTTATAGATCAATGGAGTTATATTTATGTTTATTTATTTGCATTTATGCATTTTATGCAAATCTATACCTCTTCTGGATGCTTATTTTTTTTGGTCAGTTCATAAAATGGCCAGCCATTTAGCACATCTTCACTATGAATGTATGTAATATAAAATCCTGAATATGAAATTTCATCCAGCCTTTAGAATGTAACGTTTGGATTCAGAACTGTGCATTACTCTCCAGATATTACAGAACCACAACTCCAGTCACCCATCCACCACTGCCTACAATCCTTAGGGCTGAAGCTAAGTTGTTGTCTCACTACATTCTCAATTCTTCAGCTACCAAACATGAATAATAATCATGATCTGTCAAGTCAATTCTGACTTACGATGACCCTTTCCAGGCTTCTCGAGGTAGAGAATACTCAGAAGTGGTTTACCGTTCCCTTCTTCTGGGGGCATCCTGGGACTATGCAGCTTGCCCAAGGCTACACAGGTTGGCTCTTTCCCCTAGGAGGAACAGTGGGGAATTGAACTCCCATCCTCCAGCTCCGCAGCCAAATGCCTAAGAAACTGAACTCATAGGCAGATACAAAATATAATTACATGTCCATTTTCAAGCGGTATGGGAAACCCCCGCACATACACACCTCTAAATCATAAGACGGAGCTGGACTGAATCTGGCAATGGTTACGTGAGCTATGTATCCCAACCCCAGCCATCTATTATTCAATCTTCATGCCAACAATGCTATCTAACACTACTGAACTAGAAGGCACAACCTGGCAAACTGGCACAATCAATGGTCTTGATTTTAGCCATAAAGAAGAGTCACCAAAGGTGATGAGGATGCTCACCTGGTACAATCTTTGAGACTTTGGATGCAGTCTTAGGGGGCGGAACTGGAAGCGATGGAGGAGGGCTGGGGAGCTGTGCTGGATTCCTTTCCATCTGTTTCTGGGGTGAATCGGCGGGTTCCGAAAGGAGTAAGGCTTGTGGATGCTCGTTGGAGGCTGGCAAGCTGGCATTTTCCCGTTCGTCGGTGGAGGCTGACGTCTTCTTGGCTGAGGAGACAAGATCAGATGTGGCGAGATTTGTGAGACATGGCACGAAGGACAGAGGCAGCCTGACGGGAGGAGTGAGCAGGAGAGAAATGGGGGAATAAAGGGGCGATGGTGAGGTCCACAGCATAAACAACAACAGGCATGCTCGCAGCCAAGGGGGCTGGAGAAAAGCATCTGGGCTATAGGCTGGAACAATTGCACCCCTGTCATGGAGCTGAGAAAGCTTTTTATTCACTACACATACATACATCGTGCACAATGCCTCCATTTTCCCTATTTGTTTATTTAATTACAAAGACAACTGGCAAGATCAGTTATCATGAGCTTCTTTTCTGTGTGTCTCAGAACACAAGGCAGGCCAATAACGTATCACTTTTAGGGCAAGGGCCGGCCCTATTGTTAGCCAAGGTGAGACAGATTTGGAATTTAACAGAAGGCAGTACTGTAATCTTCATGTTGAATGCTTAATACTACGGGGTGGTGGTGGATGGCATGACCTTATTAATTAATTATAAAAGGCAAAGCCCCTTGACAATTTGTCCAGTCGTGTCCAACTTTAGGGGACTCATCTCCATTTCCAACCTATAGAACTAGTGTTTCTCCAAAGACAATCTTCTGTAGTCACGTGGCCAGCATGGCTAGACACGGAAGGCTGTTACCTTCCCACCGTGGTGGTACCTATTTATCTACTCAGATTTTGCATTTTGCATGCTTTCGAACCGCTAGGTTGGCGGGAGCTGGGACAAGCGACAGGGGCTCACTCCGTCGCATGGATTCGATCTTACGGCGGCTGGTCTTCTGACCTTGCAGCACAGAGGCTTCAGTGGTTTAACCCGCAGCGCCACCACCTCCCTTCAATTAATTATTGTTTTGTTTATTAGGCAATTTATATCCTACCTGTCCTCTAAACGAACTCAAGGTAGCATACATAGCTCTCCCCACTGCCCTTGTGTTACTCTCACAACAGTCTTGTGAGGCAGATTACAAAGAGAAAGAAACAGACCCAAGGTCCCCCAGTGAATTCCATGATTCAATGGGGACTTGAGTCTACTCTCCAGAGTCCCACTCCAACACTCAAATCACTCTCGTGTCCTAGTTCTCTTAATGAAACCCCAAAGCGCTGTACAATATTAGCAAAATTATGGTATCCACAGCCTTGTAAGATGTAATACCTTTGGAGTCCAGTACACAGTGTGAATGTAACATCAGTGCTGTATGTAACAGTAATGCCTTTGGAGTCCAGTACACAGTGTGAACGAGGGGCAGCTCTCTCAATTTCCTCTAAATTTGAACACAGAACACAAGGAACGTTCATGACAGCAAAAGACACATGAACAATTATATCTTATGAAACATTTGTTTCTCAAATGGATCACCTGACACAAAGTTAAAAAAACTGCATAAATTATCAGAAAAAATTTAAATGTTATTGAAGAGTATGTGAAAAAGGCTGAAAATAGTCCTATAGTTGGGTTAGTGTAAGAATCAGAGCCTGGGAAGTGATTTTTCCAAAGCAATACTTCGCCATTATAATTATAGTGCCGAAAATGTGATAAATTGTCATCATAGTTACAGTTTTGAAAAGTAGCTATTTAAGACAGCTGTCAAACCTACAGTTCAATGCATTCCAATGGGGGGGGGGAATTCACCAAAAATTAACGAAGAGTCAGAACAAAGCCAAATTAAGTTTGCAAAGGTTTTACAAGGTGCACTAACTATTCCAAGCATTTAAAACAGTTTTTGAACATTTTAAGATACTTTAAAAATAGCGAAAATGGACATCGGAAAACCATTGGAATGCATTGGCTTCAATGCATTACAATGGGGGAAACACTGTTTTGCTTAGCGATGTTTCTATGGCGATTTTCGCTTAAGGACGGTAATCCCATTGGAACGGATTAACCGGTTTTCAATGCATTCCTATGGGAAATGATGTTTCACTTAGTGATGTTTTCCCATAGCGATGTTTTTTGTGGAACCAATTAACATTGTTAAGTGAGGCACCACTGTATTTGTAGAAAAAGGAAGAAAAGGGAAGCGGGAAACAATAAATTCCTCTGTTCACACCTGATAGTCTCTCAGGATGACCTAGAACAAATGAATTACACACAGAGAATGGAATAATACAATGACTGAGAAGTGATATATGTAGCGGGCACGCTGAAGCCTCTACCAACTCAGGCCTTCAGGAGTGCTCACTCTCCTTCTCAGGTAGCTGCCACCAGGTATTGCTGTTTCAATACCAATAAATCACTGAATCATGTGTTTCTTCAAAACTTAAACTTGTTTATTGGTTTAACAAAATAAAGTAAGTAAATCACAAAATGTTAATCAAGGTCTCTCACTCACTGACACACACAGACTCTTCCCTCACTGACTGTTTGGCTCACAGGCCCAAAGACACACTCATCACTCACTCTCTCAAAAATCCCTCTCTTACATCATACACCCCTTTATATATCCCAGCTCCTCCCCCTTCTGCACCACCTTCCGTCCCCTCATTGGCTGATGTTCCACTGCCCAGCTGTGATGGACAGGTGAGGGCAGGGCTGAATGCTACAATATATGCCTAAGGAAGTAATGTACTATATATGTTCAGGCCTCTATCAGTGAAATTCCTATAGTCAGTTTATTCTGCTAAGAAATATTTCATACAGGAGGGAGGAGGGTTTGGAAAGGTTGGCTTCGTAGCAATAACTCTCAGGAAGCATTAGACAACATGACAAGTGGATTCTGGAAGTTGCAGTTAAGTTTTCCAAGCTCTGGAAGGGAAGACAAGTCAAATCAAATCTGATGATGGACATTTTGGATCAGGACCAAGATGTGAAATTCTGTAAATGATGAGACATCCGGTGTGCATGCATGCATGCTTGTGCATGCCCCAGAAACTTCACCGGGCAAAGAGGTAGGGAAATTTCTCAGCATTCAAACAGCACTGAAATGCAGTTCCCTGCCCTTGATGCTCCTCCAGTTTCAGGAATAATACCAGATGGGTCCATTTATTGAGAGAAATGTAAGTAAAATAAAATAAAATAAAGGAAAGCCAAAACATTTCATGGAATTCTAAATAACCCAAGCAGTGTATTTATTAATTAATTGGATTTCTTCAAGAGGTTCAGTCCCTCTCTAGAAATGCATTCGTAGTGCATGCTGAGATGCTGTGTTTGGCTCCCTTTGGTTCTTTGTCTTGTAAGTAGTCAGCAACAAAAATTCAAAAAGCAGCAGCTAGGGGTCGAAGCCTATGCACACACATCTTTGGTTGTAAAATCTCATTTTACTCAATGGAATTACTAGAGATACAAAGGATTAGGCTATAATGCTTCCAGTGAAGATATAACAAATACCCTAAAGAATGAAGACTGCCAGCATGACCCAGTGGGTAACACATTAGAGGTACAGAATTGGTAGGAGGCATTTCAAACTGCGGTGAGAATCATTTGGAGGTTGACCGCACTCTCTCAGTCTGAGTTAAACTCTCAATCTCAGTCTTCAGCGAAATGGAATAACAACTCTACGTCACAAACCATTATTGATGGACAAGCTAATGCTTATTAGCTACTTTAGACATTATAATGATTACTATCCTAATAGCAACCGCAATGCTGAAGGGCTAAATCCAAGTCATATTAGTCAACATTAACAATGCAGTCTTATAATACCTGTTCAAAAGATTTGTCCCACCAAGTTGGATGAGGCTTACTCCCAGGTAAATAGGTACAGGACTAAGAACAGAAGAAGACTGATGCTGGGTCAGACCAAAGATCTTTCCAGTCCAAAATTATGTTCATACTGTTGCCAACTTGTTGTCTCTTGGAAACTCCCCAACTACCGTATTTTTCCCGTGTATAAGATGCCCCCATGTATAAGACACCCCCACTTTTCTAACCCAAAATTAAGAAATCTAAGTGGGGCTTAGCAGGTGGAGGGAAAAGCAGGGATCAAAGCCCTGCAGGATCACTTTGATCCCTGCGTTCCCCTCCACTTATTTTTGTTCTTTCCTTAGCTTACTTTCATGTACAGTGGTGCCTTGCATAGCGAGGTTAATCCGTTCTGGATTAACCTTCGCTATAGCGAAACATCGCTAAACGGAATTTAAAAAGCCATAGAAACGCATTGAACTTTGTTCAATGCGTTCCTATGGGTTTAAAACTCACCGTTAAGCGATGTTCCTCCATAGCGCTGCCATTTTCGCGCCCTTGGTAAGCGAGGGCAGGGCGCAAAAATGCGGCGCGGACCTTCCGGCGGCCATTTTGGAACCGCCGATCAGCTGTTCTCCCCCGCTTCGTTATGCGATATTCGCTAAGCGAATCGCTTAGCGAATATCGCAAAGCGGAAAAACACCATAGGGGCCATCGCTGAGCGGTGTGTGTGTGTGTTCGTTAAGCGAGGCACCACTGTATAAGACAACCCTCAATTTTTAGTCTAAAGATTTTAGAGAAAAGTATAGTTTTATACACAGAAAAATACAGTACCTCTACCTCATCTTCCCTAGCAAGAGATATGGGGATGCCTCTAATAATGGAGGTGATATATAGCTTTAATGCAGCTGTGTTCCCATCAAAGGAAACAGGATAGGCTATAATCTTGATTCTTGACTAACAAGAACATTGATTACAAGAGCAGTTAACCTGCAGTGGATTTACTGAAATGTGTGTAACAGGGAATTAAAACATCAAAACCTGCCTGTTTTCATAGAATCATAAATTCATGGAGTTGAAGCGGTCTATAAGGTCATTAAATCCACCCCCCTGTCAAGCACATTTGCTTAGTTCTGCTTACGTACATCTGTGACAGGACAAAGATTAACATGCATTTTTGAAAGACTATTAATATGTACAGATTTTTACAAGCCCTTTCCCCAAATATATGCATTTTGGTACCTTATTTTATCCAGTTTTGTACATGTTTTTCTCTAATGCATTTCTTTTGGTATACATGTTTTCACCAGAAGATTGTATTGCAAAGGTCGGTGAAGTGCAAAACTAGAGAATATCTGTGTTCCATTTCACACACAAACAGGGCAGAATACACATTAAATTTTTAAAATGAGAACAAAATGAATTTCACCCCTTGGTTGACATTAAACTGAATAATACATACTCCTCGCAGCTCAGCCAGTAGAGGGCAGCAAAAGGAGGCAGGAAAGTAAATGCAAGGAATTTTCTTTGTATCCCTCAAAGTAAAAATACTGTCAATATGTGGTAAAAGTGGCGTGCTTCTCACTGTTTTTCAAAACCCATTCAAATAAGCTATTCTTGAAATCCCTCAAAATACTGTTCTCTAAGAAAGAAAAATATGTATTTTTATCATCAGTCATTTTCATAACAATATGCCCCCAGTGCAGCTAGCACCGTTCTTACATATAAATATTTGATGCTTAATCATAAGGTATCTACATGTGGAGCAACATGCTGTGAAATGTATGCATTATTTCTGAAGGGAACAGGCTGTGGCTTTATGTGAAAAAGCAGGGCTCCCTGCACACATAGTTTTATAGACAAAAATATCCCATAAGGCCTTTGTTCTTGCTACAGGAAAAAATATTAATTGATACCCCTTGCTAGGAGGATAGTTGATGTTCTCAGGTGCTTTTGATCTCACCTCTGTCCAGACTCCTGCTGCTAAACATATTCCACCATCTCATCAATCAATTCACCCTTAAGTCACTACAGTCATTACCAATCTAATGTTGCATCCATCACAGACTAATTTACTTTACCTTCAGAGCCCAACTTGGAAAAAGTTACCTTTCAGACGCTGCAACTCACAGATTTCTGGGAGATTCAGAGCCAAAACATAACTGTTCCAAGCTCTACTCCAAAGCCCACAATGGCTTTCTAATGTCACTGTCTGCCTCCGTCGTGAATATTATATCTCTGGTTGTGAGCTCTAAACTAGCAGCCTCCCTATGCAAAGCTGAATTTTTCGTTAATACTGCTGATTGTCCGTTATTGTCCACAGTCCTAAGATGCCTTCTTGTCTCTCCCACAGGGTCCTCGCCTTTCTTCAGTTATCAAAAGAGAAAAGTGGAGTATTCTTATGAAAGCTTTTACAAGCAGTGAAAACTGTTTCTTTTTTCCTAGTTTTTTTCATGGTGTATAACAAATGAGGTAGAGGGATTTACCCTTCAAAAGAAGGGAAAAATTTAATGCCTTCACTCTTGACTTAGTTTTTTTGATATCTGATTGGCTGTGAGACATAATTACAGGGTCAATTCAGAGCGAAGGCAAGAAACATTGATTATTCTGTATTGGCTGATTGCAATAATATGATAAAGCAGGAGAGGGGATCCTTGATTGACTGGAAAATGGCCAAGAATTAGTTTTGGGTTTTATTTTGTAAAGTAGTGACAATATAGCTATCAACGAGGCACTTAAAACACAAAGAGGCAAACTGCCACTTTGGCCAACTCAAAAACTATCTTTTGACACTAAACATGCAACAGTTTGCATGTGAGCATTATGCACAGCTGTCTCCAAAACTCATATCTTACATCAGTCTACATCAGGGGTCACAAAGAGTCGGACATGACTTAAGGACTAAACAACAACAAACATCAGTCTTTGTCCGCTACACAAAGTAGACCTCAATGCACTGTACTGAACTTTCACTCTTTCTTCCCATGGCCTCATTGTCTCTGATATCTGTTACTCCTCCAGTTATCCACCTTTCTCATTGTTAGAGAGAACATGCCATTTTATATTACTCTGCTGGGAGCCAGTGGTCTTGCTGTTTGTTTGTTTGTTTGTTTGTTTGTTTGTTTGTTTGTTCGTTCGTTCGTTCGTTCGCTCGCTCATCTATTTATTTGAGCTTCTAAACCAACCAACTTAGTGAGCTACTACTCGGGGCGGTTTACATAATTAACCAAAACATACAAACTAAAATAATTTTAAAAATGCATAGATAATAGCACAAACCTTGGCCCACTTATTAATCTTATCACAATTTTGCTCTGCTTTCATAAAGTTCAGGGCAGCTTCCGTGAAGCTTTTTCTTTTCATCCTAAGGCATGTCCTGCAAGAAGCATTAAAGGGAGGGTACAAGTGTTGGGGGAAGTTGATAGACTGACTGCTTTAAATTGTTACTGGGTTAATTTACTGGGTATTTATTCTCTTGCAATGTACATTTTGATGGATGGGGCTTTGGTGAGTGCTAGAGAACTAGGGCCTGGCTGGCTGGGTGCTTCACTGCATAGGCCCAGTGGATCTATGTACTGTATGTTGCAATGGGTGGGTGGTACTCAACTCATACCTTCCCCCCACCTCCCAATTTCTGGGTGCTCTACTGCTTGTTGAATTGATTAGTGAATGAGTGAGATATTTTCTTTTCTGGGTGTAGGACTGGCGGTGGTGATGTATCTTATCTTAAGAATTATCTTTCTGAAGCCTCCAGTAGTGTTGTACACTGGTTTGGGGCACTGATAGAAGCTTTCTCTATAAAGCGGTGCCTGCATAGTTCTGATGACGATTTTAATTTCTCATGTACTGTTACCTGTTTTTGGAGCAGACTGATTCTCTGTTATCTTGTCACTCTCTGCTTTTCTGGTGCACACTTTTAAAGCGTTCTTGAGTGCGAAACAACAGGAATGGGGCACACAAAATGAAAGAACCAGAAATAGCCTTTCCATTTCTTGTAAAACAAAAGAACTGGTCCACAAAAATCTACAAAAAACTGAAAGAGGCACTTGGGAAAGAACCCGAAATGAAATAAATAATAAGAAAAAAATCCCATGTATATTCCTAATCTTGGTATCCTTCATCAAGATCAAAGATACTGTCCGTAGTCACACCCTTGAATGTGACTGGCTCTTTTTCAAGCACTGCAAGATCTGTATGGCCTTATCATAGCTACCCACTGGCTCTTGACCGAATTTGTAAGAGATAAACCTTAAAAAATCCATATTTGGCATTCCATTTCAGAGAACAAATCAATTCTGAAATCGGATCCCCTGCTATTTCCTGGTTACTATCATGGAGAGGCAATCTTAGCTCTCCTGATTATTATCATAAGTTGGAGAAGTTACCTTTCGGACTACAGGTCTGAGAATTCCCCAGCAAGTATCAGCATTTATGCTGGGCATTGGATTCCTAGAGTCATAATCCCGGAAAGAAACTTTTCCAAGTTCTGTCTGAAATCTTGTTTCTCATTTAGTAATAGAGTAGCACTAGAGTAGGCCCATTGACTCAGTGAGGACGCAGTACTTTAGGTTCAGCGGGTCAATGTACTACACTAATCAACAGGGTTTCAGTCTTTATCTCAGTTTTTTTCCAATAGGTTTTGTTACAAGTAGATTCCAAGTTCAGACTCCCCCATTTGTTCTGGGGGGGGACGGACCTGATAGGACAGGTTGTTCCTATGCAGCTAATCTCTCAGCTCAGTGATTTTCTTCTCAAAATCCTTCCTTAATTTGATTCTCCATTTCTTTTATGGGTCACTGGCCAAATAACACGCTGCCAAGTCGGCCGTGTGCTCCATTCCTCTGTTGACAAAGTATGCTGTTCTTTGGTCAAGGAAAGTTGGGTAGCGATGTCATTTCCTCTGTAACATTCCTTATGTTCTCCTGCACTTTGCTTCTTCTACAGCAGTCAAGGATGCTTCTGAAACCACATTTTTTCCCCTGTGGAGGCCTCCATTTGGGGACTTAGTTGTTATCTCAGTGGTGAAATCACCTCCTTCACTTAAATGGCCTTCCCAAGGATGAGTTTCCACATCCCGTGGCCTCCTGAAGAGCACAGAATACAAGAATGTGGCAGACTAGCATGTGGCAACCATCTTCCACAAAATCAGACTTTTTAAAAAAGCTGACAGATTTACAGCTCACGGTGTTCCCCCCCCCCCATGCAAAAATTCAAGGTCACCCCATTCAATCCTACCTTAATCCTGATCCTATCAGCCTGTCATGCAGACCACCATGCAGAGCTTGGAAAGTTATTTCTTAAGACTATAACTTTTATTCCGCATGGCCATGGTTGCTGGGAAATCCTGGGAGTGGTAGTACTAAAATAGCAATGTTCCCAAACTCTGCCATTATTCAAGGGCTGCCAGTCATTTAGATACGCCACCCTTGTGACCACTGCCAATAAAGCGGAAGCATTTAAAATAGTCTCCAAGGGATGGCCCTAAGATGATAATCAGAAAATCGTGGAGTCAGAAACTATGTAGTGTCGTATGGGGGTGCCATTCCCAAGGTTGCTAAGCTGTCGGCTTAATCGACAGTAGAGGGCAAACCCTCCTGGATGATGTCACAGCTGCTTCTGAGGGTCATGACGACCCACCATTCTTCTTCTTTCTCATAGATGCTAGTGAGCTTGCATAGAGCCTTTCCTTAGGCCAATTACAGTATAATGGCATGATGTAACCACTGCCCTATCTGAACTCTGTAACCTATCTGTATACTGTCCACTGTCTGTGAGCTTGTAAAGTTAATGAAAGCACCGTCCTCCTGGGGGCAGGGCAGAATTCATTAGGAACCCATTCAGTGTTATTCTGCCTCTTCTATTAGCCGCCCACCAGGAGCATGGCTGGCAGACATCCCTGTGTGTGTGGCTGACTTCTTTAACCTCTATTTCTAAGAAATTCTTTGCTATCCTAATGATCTGGTGATCACCACAAAGCCCATCAGCCTGCTAAGTTCGTGACTCCAACAGTGTCTAGTTAAATCCATGGCAAATTCTCATGCAGCCAAATCGGATGGGAAGATGTGCTACCTTTGCTTCCATATCCATCACATGCAGTCTTAATCAGAATACTGTTCTCTCACGGTCCTGCTCAATTAGTAGAGTGAGTAGACCCTGAATTAGTAAATGTAGACCAGCATGGTAGTAAATGTAGAATTAGTAAACCCTGCAGCTAGACGGCATGAGGCTGAAACAACACTATGGCATCCAAATGAATCAACTTCAGCTCAGGGGAATGGAAAGGCCAACATTGTTTCATAGCCAATACCTGAATCTTCTCTCAGCTCTTCCGAATGCAGCTCCTCGCCAAGTGAGGTGGCATTGGTTGTGGCTGATATATGTTCCTGCTGCGTCTCTTCTGAGGTAAGTGCCTGGCATGAGGGGGATGAAGGGTCACTCAGCATTGCTCTGGTGGCAGCGTCAGCAGTGCATGCTTTGACTTCAGAATCTAGGACACCATGACATGCTATCATTAGTTCAGCCATTAATTATTAACTAAAGCCCACTTCCCAAGTTACCCTCTAGAGTCAAAGAAAGGATTCACTCCATCTATTCTTAAAAAGGAACCACCTTGGGAAGCACCCCTTGGAAGGGCTGTCTGGCATAAATTCATATACGGTACAGCACTCTACCTCTGAAATAATAATGCTGTTGGGAATGACTGTTGCATGTATAAGTGATAATGCAACGTAAATAAGTGATCGTACAAGTTTAAATATATATTGGCGAATTTATAAAAGGACAGAATCACTTCCCCATGGGTGGCAGAGATGCAAATATTGGGAAGGAAGGAAGGAAGGAAGGAAGGAAGGAAGGAAGGAAGGAAGGAAGGAAGGAATCATTGGATAGACAGAAGCCTTGTGTCCTCCTTTCTCCCTGGAGTATGGTTCAGGATGGTTCGTTTCCTAATATTTTGTCACATGCTAGCATGACCAGAAAGCAGAAACTATAGTTACATTGCAGATGGTAGGAACTGAGCTATAGCAAGATCAAAGCTGGGCGAAATTACATTTTTTTTATCACAATTCCTAGAATATCCCAAACAGTGTGGTATCTGGCTATACTAACTAGAATACAGGGATCTGCAAAAAAAGAAGGCACACCAAATTTCCCCATGGCTCAGTGAAGTTAATAACTAACATCTGACAGCATGAGGTCAAGACATAGGTTTGGCACCTACCTCAACAGTGAACCCCAAATACATATTAGCCCAAGATATTTTGCTGCCTGAAGAGGATCGCGAATGTCATCCTCTAGCCACTATGACCCACACGGCAAACATTATTTATCAGCCATCAGCCACTGAGCCCATAACTGAGGAGGAGCATGGAGATTCAGCCAGCCTAAGCATTTGTCTATCTTCCCATCCAAGAGCAGGTATTGGCTGGCCATTGACCTCACTGGGATGCTTTGCACCTCCTGCCTGCATATTTATTTCCTGATGCAGGATGTGGAGCATACAGTATTTAGCAACATGTTTATACATATCATATGCTACCTATTTTTCATTTAACTGTGCTGCTCACTGACTTTATACTCATATTTCCTCAACCTTTGGCCTTTACATCATTTTGACTACTGGCCTTTGCATCATTCAAGTACCAGTATTGTCTTCCTCGTGTGTGTGTGTGTGTGTGTGTGTGTGAGAGAGAGAGAGAGCGTGAGAGAGAGAGAGAGAGAGAGAGAGACATTGTCTGTGCTGTCAGAACTGAGTTATAGTGGCCCTAATAATGCTGTCAAGGTAAGTGAGATATTTAAGAAGTGGTTTTACCACTTCCACTCTCCTAGTTCCTTCCACAGCCAAGAGGGGATTCAAAACCTATTCTCCAGAGTCCTAGTCCCTCACTCTGTTCACTACACCACACTGGGAACACCTTGCAGAAGTGGAACCTTACCAATAATGCTGGGTTGCAACTCCTATCAGCCCCAGCCAACCCAGCTAAGAGTGAGGAAAACTGGGGAGAAGCAGTACAACAATGTCTGGAAGACTAAACATGATCCATGCTGGTCTATCTCCTTACCCAGCAACGTGGCACAACCTGCCCTTTACTTTATGCTTCCCTTTAATTTCTCCCATATAAGTAAATGGTTGCTATTTCACATCTAGGGGTAGGAGATCCCATTGCATATAGTAGTACAGTTGCTTCTGCTTTGGACACTATGTAGCTTGGCAGTGTTCCTGTAGGAAGATGCGATTTATCTTTGTGTGCAGAGCACGCAAAGTTGCACAGTATCTCATTGGCAGTCCCTGCAGTGTACAAGCTTTCTGCACACACTCTCCTGATATGTCATCTGATAGTCATTGTAGGCATCCTTCAGTCTCGAGAAACTAAGGTGTGCTCTCAATAGAGGTCTTGGAACGCCATCTAAAGTGGCCGAGAAGGCCAATTCAAGAGTAACAATCCCTTCCACATTGAAGACACATACAATCTGTTCCCTGTCCAGCTCCCTGATTTTGCTAGTTTCAGGACTGCCTCTTCACAGTGTAGCCTGCATAATTAACTTGTAAACTGCCCAGAGAGTGCTTGAAGCACTATGGGGTGGTATATACGCAGCATGCTTTGCTTTGCCTCGGCCTGCTGAACAAGTGTCTCTTCAAATTGGGAGAGGCCATGCTGCACTGCCTGCCTCCAGGCTGAACGCTCAGATGTCAGGTTTTCCCATCTGTTGGGGTCCATTCCTAAGGCCTTCAGATCCCGTTTGCATATACAGCATCCTTGTATCGCAGCTGTGGTCTCCCTCTGGGTCGCTTTCCCTGCACTAATTCATACAGGAGATCTTTTGGAACCCGACCATCAGCCATGCCCATCTTTGCACAGGGGGCAGGACACACCCATGCTCACGAGTGTGTGGGGCACACTTGTGGGTGGGCAGGGGGTACATATGCAGGTGTGGATGGGGGCACTCGCAGGTGGGCAGGGTGCACTTGCATGCATGCACAGATGGCAGGGCAGCTGTGCGTACATGCGTGGCCGGGTGGGGCACCCGCGTGGGTGGGCGGGCCGTGCATGCGGTGGGCATGCATGGGGAGTGCGTGCAGCGGGGGCAGGAGATCTGTCTCTGCGGCCTGGTCCTGCCAAAGCTGTGGCCTGGTTCTGTCTCTGCGGCCTGGTCCTGCCAAAGCCATGGCCTGGTTCCAGGCCACAGACCGGGGATTGGGGACCCTGGTTATAGAGAACCCATCGTTAGAGATATGATCCTTAAGACTTCTATATCAGAAAAATCCTCTCGGAATAAAGGGCTTTCTGCTATGCATGGTTTGGTTTCATCCAGCAAGATAGATACTTATCTCCCTTTTCCACTAGCTTAATCCAACTGATTCTAGTATGCCCAAGGCTTTAGTGTGAATCCAAATAGTCAGAATGAATAGGAACACTTCAAGTTAGAATAGGTTCATTTGAATGAAATTGAACTTATGGAGGAGTTCACTCATCAAATCTCCATTGGTAGAATGGGCGTAATGTAACTTACTACACTAAACAACTGGATTTCAGCCATGGCATGCCCTTCACCCTAATGGTCTCATCATGAAAAAGTTGCTTTTTTGAGTTTGAGGCTAATCTTATTCACATGATCATACTATATGGAAGTGCACAGATGACTTAGCACCGTGTAAATCTGCACCTAGGACAGCTCCTTGACTGACAAAGCAGGTGCTGCATCAGACCACGAACAGTGATGTTATCACATATCAGAAACTGAACCCTTTGACACAGAAATTAGCATATATGGCAGTGATGGCTTAGCCTCCTCAGTACATCTGACTTAGAACAATTATTGGTTGTTCGTCACATCTTTCCAATAGATGATCTCTGTAACTAAACTCCAGCACTGCAGCAAAGGCTCTGCTCACAACCCGAGTTCAATCCCAACAGGTTCAGGAAGCTGGCTCAAGGTTGACTCAGGCTTCCATCCATCCAAGGTTGGTAAATTGAGTACCCAGCTCACTGGGTAGGGGATCAATGTGTAGCCTGCTTAATGAAATTATAAACTACCCAGAGATTGCTTAAAGCTCTATGGGATGTGACATAAGCGGCACACTTTGATTTAGATTTACATTTACATAGAACAAAAGGACTGCATATTCCCACAGAAAAGTGTGTTTCTTCTTTGAAAATAAGTGTGTGTTTTCTAGTTTGTTCTGAATACAGTGGTGCCTCGCATTACGACGTTAATTCATTCCAGCAAAATCGCTGTAGAACGAAAACGTCCTAATGCGAAATTAAAAAGCCCATAGAAACATATTAAAACCCAATTAATGTGTTCCTATGGGCTTGAAACTCACCGTCCAGCGAAGATCCTCCATAGCGCAGCCATTTTCACTGCCTGTGCAGTGAGGAATCCATCCCAGAAAAGAGCGGGGAGCCATGTTTTTTACCCGCTGGCCATTTTGAAACCACCGATCAGCTGGCCAAAAATCATCGCTTTGAGAGAATCGGTTCCCGAAGCAGGGAACCGATCATCGCAAAGCAAAATTCCCCCATAGGAAACATCATTTTGCGATCGCAAAACGTTCAACGTAAAGCGATTTCATCGTAAAACGGAGCACACGTAATACGATGCACCACTGTATATTTTATACACACATATCTCAACATCTCATCTCATCTCATACATATAAGTCTGAAACCAAGAGGATACGCAATCTATTTGTTTGTGATTAGCTGCATTCAAAGCAACTACTGAAGTTTCCCTGTATCTATTTCCATAAAATTTTAAAGGTGAGGAAATGTGTTAAGCAAAAGAAAAGGCACTGTGGAACTTCATTCTGAAGCCAGGAAGGATGCTTGCTTAATGATTCTTTTATACCAGCATCATACATAAGTCTCCACAGCATCATACATAAGTCTCCACAGAAATCATTTCAGAGTGTTCCCAATATTGTTTACAGCAACTTCAGATATAGGATCCTAAGTAGAGCAGGAAAAAAGATTATTTTGGCCCAGCCGAATAAGCAACTGATTGTTGAGTCTTCTTTATTATTGTTCTCCTCTCCAATCACAACACTGTCATCTTTTTCTCAATAGGATTGGTACCCATCTTCCCTCTATCAAAATTATAGCCTCAGCACGACAGCCCAAACTAAAGCAATTACTGGGAATGAAATGTAGGCGAGCACTTCACACCTTTTTGGCCAGAGAGCTCACCTCAGGCACCCTTCATCAGAGGCTTATGACAAGACCAGCTTACTTATGTTCTTATTTCATTACTGTACAAGTTTCTGGAGTGATGGTTTCAAGGAGGACTGGAAACCGAGCCCTATGAGGAAAGTCTTAAGAAAAGGAGACTGAGGGGAGACATGATAGCACTCTGCAAATACTTGAAATATAGTCATACAGAGGACAGGGAAAATTTGTTCTTCATCATCCCAGAGTGCAGGACGCATAACAATGGGCCCAAGCTATAGGAAACCAGATTTAGGCTGAATACCAGGAAAAGCTTCTTAAC